GAGATATCATTGAAAAGGTTATGATTTACTGAATATGATTATCCTATTATCCTGTATCCATGTATCATTTTGATATCTGAAGTTAGGAATATTGTCTACGTATCTATTAAAAATGTGTTCACACCTGGGAAATGCCCATGAGGCAAAAGACTGTCAGTCTGGATGGCTGGCTGGAAACACAAGTCAATGGACCATTAGGGAGAACAATAGGCCTCACAAGAAGTTTATCTCCCAACCTGAGAGCCTTCCTGAGGATGCTACAAACAGCCTCTGAGTCATGGCTGCTATGACACTACAGGGGCATGTGACCAGATCACCTGGTACTAGACTCCATCTTGGAAGACCAGTGTTTTTCACTGAAAGGCATGGGAACCAAGCTGGGAGACAAAAGGTTCATATCATATGCAAAAGCTATTTAAGGCAGGGGAGTGACATCATTGTGGTTCTTCACTGACTCCCCACCCAAAGGAGACTCTTGGAAACACCAGAAGACAAAGACTGGACTGGGGGAAGTGCTGGACCCAGGCTAGAGGGGTTTCTAGCCTATGAAAGGAATACCCGGGGTAATTAAACTGCAAGCAAGGGCAACTTGTCCCTTAGACTTTCTGCAACTGGTTTAAATAATCATTTAGGCTAGGTATACTTGGTCCTGCTTCAGCGTGGGGTGGGGGGGGAGGGGTTAAATGGCATCCAGAGGTCACTTCCACTTCCACTTTCTATGGTTTGTATTACAGTAACAGCTAAATACAACAGTCAGTATCTGAGCCCCATTGAGCTAGGCACGGTACAGCTATATAGAAAGACATAGTCCCTGCCTAGGGATACTCTTTAAGAGGGTTCCATCACCCTGTCTGGCTAGTTTTGTAGGTAATAGGTACAGCTGCAGCGTTGCCAACTCTCCCAATTTAATCACAAGAACGGAATTACGGGCACTGCCCTGGAGAAGAACAGCCAATCCATCGGAGCATTTCAGGAAGCTGGCAGTGCTCTCCCTTCTCCCCTCAGGAGCTGAGAGATGATTTCTGAGCAGGGGGAGAGGGAGCTGCTGCTGACAGGATGCAGCAAAAAGAGCCAGCTGCTGAGCTTTCTCCTCCCTCCCGGGAAAAATGGGTCACTCTGCTCTTCGCTCCCTGCAACACCAGGCCTGGGAAGGGGGACAGAGGGTGAGAAACCCCTGGAGCTGCAGGAGGTGCTGAGATGTATACGGGGGCAAGTGGCAGATGTGGGACGGGGGTGGGTGGGAGGGACAGAACGAATTAGAATTTGGGGGGTTGGAATGAAGCTGGAAGCTCTGTGATATAAGGCAGCATTTGGTAAATCTGTCTAATTTAATCTGAGTTGGCTTTTGCAGCGAGAGATTCTGCAGAGAGATCCAAAAATTACCTTCCCATATAAGCACGTGAGAGCTGACAGCCTTGTAACAGTCACACGGCGTGGGGTGGGCAGAGGGAGTTCAACAATCAAGCAAGACCAAAAAACCCACAATATAATCTTTTTTTTTGTAAGCCTAATGATTTTGGGAGTGTGGGGGTGTATCATGATTTTTGAACTTTTGGGGTTGGCAGTACTGAGTCGCTCTGCAGCTCACGAAGCTATCTAGTCAATGGTGGCAGCACCATGTCCAGCAAAACAAAGTTACGGGCATTTTAAATCAGCCTCGTCTCACCCCCACCCTATCGTGTCATGGCGATGTAGTATTGTCTGGTCTTGCAGCTTTGACAAGTTGTGGGATTGCACAAACGTATTGGTGATCCCGGGAGGCATGAGGTATTTGGAAACTGTACAAGCTGTAAGTCATTTACCTTTGGGTACTTTCTATTGCCTGATTTTTCATAAAGAAACAATTTTTTAAAAGCCTTCAACTTCTGGTGACCTTGCCAGGGAAGCCCTTTGGGCTAGCATATGCAGAGGGGATAGAGTTTTCAGAGGAGAGGTACTTATTGGGGGAAGTTGTGACGGGTTCCCTCTGGGGTGCCACCTGGAACTGAGGTGCCACTGAGCCCCCTGACCCACCAGCCTGGGCTCCCTCTCACACTGTGGTGCTGTGATAAGTTGCCAACCTTGTTCTTTCACCAGCACACACACAGGTAGAACACATCCAACTGCAGAAATTACAGGCTGCTGTGATCAGCTCTGCATGGGGAGGATACCGCTAAGGAACTGTCCAGCACCTCAAGAGCAACCCTCCTCTGGCATGTAAACCCAAAATCATACCGCCTTGCACTGCACAGAGATCAGTACAGCATAAGCTCATGAAATTCGCACCCTCCCTCAATGTGGAGAGGAAATATACAACATCTTTTTGCTCCAACTTATAGCTCCCACACACTGGTTTGATATAAAGCAAAAACAAATTTATTAACTACAAAAGAGAGATTTTAAGTGATTATAAGGGATAGCAAACAAATCAAAGCAGGTTACCTAGCAAATATGCAATCTAAGATTAATATACTAAAGAGATTGGATATCAGTAGCAACTTCTCATTAGACCATCCTTGACAGGTTTTTGGCCATCCTGTTCTTAAAACCTTCAGTGACAAGGATTTCACAACCTCCCTAGGTAACCTGTTGCAGTGCTTAACTCTCTGTATAATTAGAAAGTTTTTGCTAATAGCTAACCTAAGTCTCTTTTGTTGCAAACTAAGCCGATAGCTTCTTGTCCTTCTGCAGTGGACATGGAGAGCAATTGATCACCATCCTCTTATAACAGCCCTTGACATATTTGAAGGCTGTTATCTGGTTCCCCCCCCCAGTCTTTGTTCTAGACTGAACATGTCCAATTCTTTCAACCTGTCTTCAAAGGTCAGGTGTTTAAAACCTTTTAACACATTTGTTGCTCTCCTCTGGACACTGTCCTATTTGTTCATGGCTTTCTTAAAGTATGGTGTCCAAAACTGGACACAGTAATGCAGCTGGGGCCTCACCAGTGCCAGCTAGAGACGACTAATTACCTCCCCTGTCTTACATGTGACACTCCTGTTAATATACCGCAGAATTACCTTTCCCTTTTTCACAATAGGATCATACCATTGACTCATATTTTTTTTGGGGTCCACTATCACCCCAGTCCCCAACCCTTTTCAGCAGTACTACCAACTAGCCAGTTATTCCCCATTTTATAGTTGTGCATTTGATTAGTCTTTACTAAGCGAAAGACTTTGTATTTGCCTTTGCTGAATTTCATATTTGTCGATTTCAGACAAACTCTCCAATTTATCCAGTTCATTTTTAATTCTAAAGTGCTTGCATCTCCTCCCAACTTGGAGATGTCTGCAGATTTTATAAACATACTGTACTCGCTACTCCATCATCCAAGTCATAAATGAAAGTATTGAATAGTACTGGACCCAGAACTGACCCTTGCGGGACCCCACTGGATACATTGTCCCAGTTTGACAGTGAATCATTGATAGCTACTCTTTGAGACTAGGCTTACCTGTTGTGTAATTTCATCTAGACCACATTTCCCTAGTTTGCAAATCAATAATACTGACAAGCTACAGTCCTAGCAATTTTGAAGTCCCTGTGATCACGTTGTGACTGCAGTAAACAGAGGCCAAAAACCATCATGCTACTTCACCGGCATAAAGGTTTCACAGGTTACTAACTTGTAAATCTCCCAAATTAAGCCTGATTCCAATAAGGAGTTTTTAAACTATTTGTGATTTCTTTTAATTATTTAAGAAGTTACCAGCATCCCTTTATGGAAGTTGAACTCTATTATGTCTAGCTGGTGTATGTGATGTCTGTCTGAATTATTTCTGTAAGTCATGCCTACTTTGTGTGGCACTCTGTCCCCCTCTTGGGGCAGCCTATACAGGGAATTGAACTGCAAAGCCTCTGAAGCTCAGGACACACTTGCCCTGCCAGGGAAGGTAGGTAAGCCATGCCTGCTCAGTGTGGCACTCTGTCCCAATCTAGTGGTGGCTAAGCCACATAGGGTCTGTCTACACAGTAGCTGGCAGTGAACCTTCCAGCCGGGTAGACGGACTTGTTTGAGTGCAGCTGGCACTAGCATGCTAACAATAGCTGTGTGGATATTGCAGCACCAGCAGAGGATTGTGCTACCCAGCCAAGCTCAGACCCAACCTACCCCCTATGACTGAGCTTAGGTGGCTAGCCTGAGCCTCCGCCGGTGCTGCAATGTCCACACGCTACTTTTAGCATGCTTGTGCCAGCCCTGCTCACCTGAGTCTGCATACCCAGGCTGGACGGCTCCCTCACCGTTAAGGTGACCAGACAGCAAGTGTGAAAAATCGGGACGGGGGTTGGGGGTAATAGGCACCTATGTAAGGCAAAGCCCCAAATATTGGGACTGTCCCTATAAAATCACCCTGCTCACAGTGGCAGCATAGACATACCAATCACAGAGCTGGATGAGTGTGCTACAGGCTAGCCTGAGAGAATGGGGTATATAGCTCATGCAGTAAAGGCTTGTGCATTTAGCTCCTGACAGCCTAGGTTCAATCCCTGCTGCTGATAACCCACTGAGGGGCATTTGTGCTGTGTTTCTTGTATCTTCTCAGAGGAAAATATTGTGATATTACTCCTGTCAAACATGAAGACAATTCCCTGATTTGATTACTGTCCAGTAAAGGGCTTTGTCAGTAGTTAGATGTCAGTGTTTCACTGTTGTGAAAGGCGGGTGCTGAGCACCCTCTTTATCCCTTACTGCACACAGTAAGGTCTGCACTGCTGGAGGTCATGCCCTGCTCCTTCTGCTAAGCCTGGTAGGAGTGTGCCTTAGGGTAAATGAGGCCAGATCACTCAGACACACAGGGATACGGCATTTGCAGTGATCACGTCTACTCAGCCAGAATATACTTGCTTCTAACACCTGCAAGAAATTAAGAAAGATTGAAATACTCTGTTGCTCATCATACAGCCTACACAAAAGAACTGAATTCTTTTTACATGAGAACACGGGGATACATCTGCTTGCAATCATCCTTCTGCAGGCAGTCAGGCCTCCTTCTGATTAAGCAGAAATGTGATTCTCCACACTTGGTCCACAGAATGCTTAGTAGAAGTTTTCAGCAAAGAGGCTGGAATTCATGAGCAATAGAATAAATGTGTCTTTCATATATTACTTCACCAGTCAGGTGGCCTCAGCATTCGGAACCCTTTTCCTCTGCTGCCTGCACACTTCTTGCACTACTTTCAGAAGTCAAGAAATGCTTAAATAAAGAGAAACTTGTTCCATGACAGAAAAGGTCATTTCTTCTGGCCAGGCATTTGGGAAGGAGACAGGAAGCATATTATTTTAAAGGTAAACTGATAAAATATGTGTTTGCTGTAGAAATGGGAGGAAAGTCAAAAACCATGTCAGGGTTCTTTAGACGGTACTGGGAGGAAACGTTACTGTAACACCGTAGGATTGTGCTGACAACAACTACAGGTATCATAGGGGAAACAGGTTAGTCTTCAATTATCTGTACATTCATGCAATGTAAATATTTTTCTTTGCTCACAGAAATCTAGTTTGTTGGTGTGTGTCTAAATGTCTAAAACGACTACCGCTGCAGTACAGTGAGTATTCCACTGAAGAATATTAGACATGTGGACGGTAGTAACATTGATCATTTCTCAATATATTCTTCAATTTTAGATAATCAAGAAAAGAACAATAAAATCCTTTATTTATATGGAAGCTGAGTGTTTTCTCCTGTTGTAGCATGGACACACTGGGGTTGAAGTAATGCACTTTTGTAGGTTTGTTATGTTACATCCCAAAGGATGTCTTATATACTACTATACACAATGACTGAAAATGTAATTTAAACTGTTTGAAAAGGAACCAGGCTTGTTTTATGTTTAATAAAAGAAAACTTGTCTTGATAGCTAAGCTGTTACTATGATTCATAGTGGTAAGTTGATGGCTCTATCTGCACTATGTTTGTTTACCTCAATTGATTGCCAGTTAGCTTGAGGTAGTTAACAGGTTTGGAAAGGCTAGTGTCTGCGCTCCTTAAATGTTTGTTCCTGGATCCTGTAGAGACAAAGTTGAAGACTTAGCCGCGCCTATGCTAGGAGTACTCTGCTGATACAGCTATCTCAGTATGTCTGTACTTATGGCTTATACTGACAAAACTGAGTTTTTGCTGGTATAGCTTATTCCAACCACCCACCCCGAAGCAAAATAAATTATACCAACAAAGGTGCAGTTTTGCTGATGTAAGTGAATTTACACTAGGAGCTTGTGTTGGCACAGCTGTATCGGTCGCAAATTGTACTTCTTCAGACTCCGGCTTCAGACATATAGTTATGCCGGCAGAAGTCAGTAGTGTAGACCTGGCCTTAAAAAGTTGGACTAATGCATTCTAGTTTGTGTTTGAAATTTAGAGGCATGTAGTCAAATGCAAAGATAAAATAGAAGCCCGGGTTAAATATTCATTTTATCAATTAAATGCTCAATTGCATTCTGACATCTACATATAAAGTATAAAGGGCTCATTTAAATAGTGTGAACAATTTTGCTGCACTAATACAGTGTCATTAAAGTTTTGACACAGGAAAGAATTGTCCTTATTACACCTCTGTGTAGAACAGGGGTCGGCAACCTTTCAGAAGTGGTGTGCCAAGTCTTCATTTATTCACTCTAATTTAAGGTTTCGCGTGCCAGTAATACATCTTAATGTTTTTAGAAGGTCTCTTTCTATAAGTCCATAATATATAACTAAACTATTGTTGTATGTAAAGTAAATAAGGTTTTTAAAATATTTAAGAAGCTGCATTTAAAATTAAATTAAAATGCAGAGCCCCCCGGACCGGTGGCCAGGACCCGGGCAGTGTGAGTGCCACTGAAAATCAGCTTGCGTGTCGCCCTTGGCACATGTGCCATAAGTTGCCTACCTCTGGTGTAGAACTTGGTCTGTTTAATTTTTTTAAGCAAACACCTACTTGGTATTATGCTTTCCTTTAAAATGTGTTTAAAGAGGTCTCATATTTATACAGTATATCAGTGGCAGACTTTCAGAGAGTATTGATCCACTGCATTGGATAGTACATTAAGGAGCAATATTTTTGGAAATATTGCAAAGAAAGCAGTCTTCATCTTGTGCAGTGAGTGGGCTGCCAAATATGAATTTACAGCCAGATTTTCAAAGGTGCTCAGCACACTGGATACTGAGCTCTTTGACAATCTGATTATAAGGGTGTCAATGGGAGCTTCTAGGCACCAAACTGTTTGGAAAATCTGAGTTGAAACCCTGGCTTCATGGAAGTCAATGGCAAAATGCGGATTACCTTAAATGGGACCGGAATTTCACCCCGAGCCTCTATTTGGTTACCTTGTTGTGAGGTGAGCTCTTATGGAAATCTGGTTTTTAGTGCTAGGGAAATCCTTACCATGCAGAAACAACTCTGACTCCTCCCTTTTGCTCTTTTCTTAAGTTTGGGGTGTGTGGTGAGAAAACATTATTTGCCCTTTGGCATGAGAGAAGGACATTAGCAGATCCATGTAGAAAATGAAGGAGCAATGAGTATTAATGAGATACTGCAGTAGCAGGTCAAGAAGTGGTTCTCCTACAGACACTTCCGAGGTTTCAGAGAACTTTTGACATGAAATGTATTAAGTTTGCTAACAGATTTCAGATGTTTATCTTTCTACAGAAAGAGGGAGGTTTAGTTTTCATTTTACAGTCTTGCCAGCATTAGCAACTGATATTTAAGTAAGTTTTCGACTATTTGAACTTTTAATTTATTTGGTAAAATGGAAGAGCTTTGTTCTACACTCAATAACCGGATATGCACTAATTGACAGGATTGATTTAATGGAGCCTCCTTTAATGTCTGGTATTTTAGCCCATTCTGACTTCTAGTCTGAAATTCAAATTAAAAGCAAAAAGCAGCACCAGACAATGTTGGCAGGAAAGCTTTGTATGTGGGTCAGTTATCTTTCAAAAGTCTCTACTCAACTCAACATTCAGTTTTTATCTGTGTGTTCTTTTCATTCAAACATTTAACAGTTCAGCTATGCTTTTATATTAGAATTCTCCCCAGCCACTTATCATTCCTGGGCAAAGTAGATTTTTAGCAAACATATTTAAAGACCCATCCAAAAAGATTTAGCTTAGCTTCTTTCTTCCAAAACAAGGGAATGACTAATCTAGCAGCGGGAAACATACATACAAGGGGAAACATTTCTCCTTGAAAAATACTAAGATTTCTTGCATAGAGGCTGAATGCTAGTGGCACTTTCACACTGTGCTAGGCATGACTTAAGACTGACAAAACCTAATGATATATAGAATAATTATCTGAAGGGAACTGCACTTTCATCTGATATTTATTATTTTTAGTGCACCTATTTCATGGCCCCTCAAAAGAGTTCAAGATCTACCTGAACTTACCATCTTGCAAATTCGGTGGCAAAGCAATTTTGGTGTAATTTAGGACCACAGGACTGGAAGGGACCTCCTAGGTCATCAAATCAGTTCCCTGATATTGCAGGCAACCATGTCATATAATCCCATTCATAAATTTTTCAAACTGCATCTTCAAACTAGTTAAGTTTCTTGTCCCCACTGTTCTATTATTTGGCATCCTCAGATTTCTTTGATACCCTTCAGCATAACTTTCAGCCTGGGTGTGACAACACAATGGCTACACTAGTCTTCTTGACTGATCTCCTAGTGATGATATGCAAAGGACAAGTATCTACACTGATTATTTTAAGTCTGTCAGCAGTCTTTGAAAGCACTGGCTAAGGAGAGACGCTGAGACTTTGTTGACTGTACAAGTACAGTCTATAGTGTGTGTAAAGGTCCGGTGTGGGGGTTGGGCCCTCTCCGGGGCCGTCGGGAACCAGGCCAGTTCACTACACGGCCTGGATCGGTCTCTGCAAGGGGCTACCGCCCTCCCTCAGGGCTAGGCAGCAACCCTGGTCCGGGCTCCAGTTCTCACTGCCGGAGCTGCGAATTACAAAGTCAGTTAAGCCCACGCGCTAGCTCAGGGCGGGCAATGCACAAGGGTCCAAGGGGCGGCTCAGGCCCTTCCTGCAGGCTGAGCAGTAACAGTCAGGAGTTAATGCCCGGCCCTCAATCAGGGCGGGGCAGCACACAATAGTCCAGGGGGCTCAGAACCTTCCTGCAGGCTGAGCAGTAACCAAGTTAGTAAGCCCAGGCCCTTAGTCAGGGCGGGGCAATAAACAATAGTTCAGGGGGGGGGCCCAGATCCGGGTCGCAGGAGCTGAGCACTAACAAGCTCAGGACGCCCCCGGCCCTTAGTCAGGGCGGGGCAACAAACAATAGTTCAGGGGGCTCAGGACCTTGTGTCAGGAGCTGAGCACCAACAGAGTCAGTAAGCCCAGGCCCTTGGTCAGGGCGGGGCAACAAACAATAGTTCCGGGGGGCTCAGGTCCTTGTGTCAGGAGCTGAGCACCAACAGAGTCAGTAAGCCCAGGCCCTTGGTCAGGGCGGGGCAACAAACAATAGTTCCGGGGGGCTCAGGACCTTGCGTCAGGAGCTGAGCACTCACAGATTCAGTAGGCCCAGGCCCTTAGTCAGGGCGGGGCAACAAACAATAGTTCACTTGCGATGCCGGAACGCTGGCTGGAGGGGGAAGCTGCCACCCGTAAGTGG